ATCTTTCCGCCCAGATCCGCTGCTGATGGTCCAGGTCCCGACAATGGGGCCCCACAAGCCGAGATCCAGGAAACGCGCCGGGATCGAAAATGGCATATCGCCAGATATCTGGATTTCCAGGCCACAGCGGCCGTTTGGGACCATTCTGGCCCCCGCCCCGCGAAGGCTATCGGCGAGGCGCAGCTGCTGGAAAGCATCCCGAGCCAAAAAAACCTGCAGGAACCAACGCGAACTTCGGGAAACTTCAGACAAGGTCATGTCGTCATGGTCCTTCGACGCCCCACTCGTAATTACCTCGTGCCGTACCTCGTACCTCGTACCTCGTTGGTGTCTCGTGTGCAACGTCCCCTCGTGCCTCGTGGGAGGAAACAAAAGCTACAACGACGGCTTCCCGAGGCACTGTGCAGCCACGGGTCTGCCTGCGTGACGGCGCACTCATGATCTGCATTCCCTGGATGTGTGCAAGTGCGCCGTCAGTGCGTGGCTTCTTTCTTCGTCTTCTTCGACGCCCAGCTCGGATAGGGCTAGGACGAGGATAAATCTGTTCCAGAGCGCTCCAGAACGCTCTCGCGTTCCGGAGCGCTCTGAGAAGGCCGCGACGCCCGATACATCCTCCAGAGCCGCCAGATCTCAGAGGTTCTCGATTTATCCTCACACGAATTTGTCCTTGTCCTGGCCTGGTCCTTCTAAGCATGGGGGAAACGAGTCCTCAGGGAAACGGGTCCCAGCAGAATGTTCTCATCCCGAGTCGTTTTCTGACGGTCCCGGGGCCCGTGGAGGGCCCCGCGAGGCCGAAAACGGCGACAAAACCTCAGGACCCGACCCGTTTCGTCCTGGCTTCGCCTTACCCCCCAGGCTGAGCCTTCCATGCTCGAGAGGTCGCTCGCCCTCGCAGGTCGGCGGAAAACCTCAGGACTCGTTTCCCTCAGGACCCGCTTCCCGCAGGGCGAGGCTTCTTTCTTCGTCTACTTCAACGCTCAACGCAAACGCCCTGGCTGTTGCCAACGACCTCCGCGGCCTTGTTGCACGAGGGACGCTCTTCACCCGGTACGCTCGCTGCCGCCGCTCTCCCTCGAAACTCCATGGGCTCCAGAGCCCAACACACTGGGCAAGAGGGGTCAAACCGATGTTTTGGTGTTTGAAAGACAGATCGTCGATACATAAACGCACACGCTACAGACATGTCTTGTTCACGGAATATGGCGTCCTTCATCTCTCCCTGCTAGCGTTCTGCTAGGGAGGGCTCTGATGGCGGCAGCAATGGGCAACAGAAGAACCCCACGGGGGGGACGGTAAGCCCTGGACCCTAGACAGCCCAGTCCGACAACCGTTTCGCCTGAGACTTCTCACAATAATTCAAGAGTCATGCTCTCGCCTCAATGCCGACTACATTTTCGGTTTGGACGGCCACGACCCAGTGTGAAACACACACCAAGGTCCACATGGCCGCGCTCTCACCCCTGCCCCGCCTGTCAGCGTTCCTAGGAGTCCCCGGGAACACCTGGGAATGCACGCTTTCACCAACCGACCTCCTCTTCCTCGACCCGCCTCCTCACCTTTGCTATTCTCAGGGGGCTTTGCTGGGACAAGATTGTAGTTGTTATTCTTACTGGCATTATTATTGTTATTATTATTGGCATTATGATAATTATTATTACTCTTGTTAGTATTATTATTAGTATTATTATTATCATTCGTATTATTATTGTTTCTTCGTCTCGCCGCAATGCCAGCTATATGTTCGGTCCGGACGGCCACGATCCCGCGTGCAAAAAGACACCAAGGTGCACATAGCCGTGCCCTCGCCCCTGTCGTCAACCCGACCCTTCGTCGTTGCTGCGAGTGGGGTGATTTGCTGGGGCAGTGATCTTCTTACTGGATTATTATCGTTAGTTCTCTGATTCGTATTCGTGTTGTCTATTATGATGGCCATTCTTACGATCATTCGTATGATTAACCTTCGCATTTTTATTACCATTATCATTTTTATCATTACCATACTCATCACCATCATCATCAGCATCATCACCATCAGCATCATCATCAGCATCATCATCACCACCATCATTATTATTAGTCGTATTCACTTTGTTATCATCATTCGTATCGCAGCTTTTATGTTCATAGGTATTACTATTGTGCTTACTGTTATTATACTAGAACTCTTTATATCTCCTCTCCATGTCCTCTTCCTCCTCCTCCTATTCCTATTATGTTATTATTTCTCCTCCTACCTTCCTTCTTCATTGTTCTGCTTCCCTCTCCTTCCTTCCTTCCTCCTTCCTTCTTCCTTCCTCCTCCTTCCCTCCCTCCCTCCCTCCTTCCCTCCATCCTTCTCTCCCTCCCTCCTTCGACCTTTCCTTCCCTCCTTCCTTCCTTCCTTCCTTCCCTCCCTCCCTCCCTCCCTCCCTCTCTCCCTCCTCTCTCCTTCCTTCCTGCCTTCTTCTTCGAATTACTGTTCTCACTGCTCTCCCATCTGCTTCTTCCACGCCCCCGACTCCTGCTTCCTCTCGAACCGCTCGAAGGCCCCTGCGCCCTGCCGCGCGGGCGCGGCCGCCGCCACCCGGCGGTGCGCCGCGGCGCTCGGCCGAGCCGCCTCTCGGCAGGCAGGGCGGCCACGGCAGCCACGGCGACGGCGACGGCGGCCACGGCAACGACGGCGGCGACGACGCCGGCGACGACGCCGGCGACGACGACGCCGGCGACGGCGCCGGCGACGCCGGCGACGGCGACAACCTCGCCAGCGGCGCCGCCGGCGACGCAGGCGACGGCGCCGGCGGCGACGACAGCGGCGGCGGCAACGACGGCAACGCAGACGAGGAGAAGGCACCGCACCGCCGCCGGTCCCGCGCTTTCGCCTCCGTGGGCCTCCCGGCGGGCCCTCGCCGCCGTGCCCGGATCGGCCTCGAGGCTCTGGCCAGAGTGTTTATCCCCAGGAGGGGTCCGTGGAGCAGCGGCATCGGTGCCCTTTGCTTTCTCCAGCGGCGGCGGCGACAGCGACGACGACGACGACGACGACGACAACAGCGACGACGACGACGACGACGACGACGACAACGCGGCAGTCCATGGCTTGCCCCAGGATGCGTTCAGTGATATCGACTGTGAGATGCTCGTTATGGGGGACCGCCCTGGAGCGAACCTCGATCCACTCACGTGCCGATTCTGCGTCGAACGTCGACAGCAACGGCGGCGACAGCGACGCCGACGCCGACGACGACGAAGACGATGGCGACGGTGATGACGCCGACGGCGCTGGCGACGACAGGTCGGCGAGGCGCTACAGAATTGTTTACAATTGTTTACCCCTATGTTGAGTGTTTCATCGAATCCACGAGCAATGTGCAGAATCGTCGCAGATCACCGAACATTCCACGAATTTCTGGGTAGAGCCGATCAACCAAACAACTTTAGGTGTATATCAAATCTGTAGTCGATCTCCAACTCGATAGGCAACGGCGACGACGTTGCCGCGTCGACGACCTCGACGTTGACGTCGACGATGACGGCGATGACGCCGACGGCGGCGACGAAGGCGACGACGGCGACGACGACGACGACGACGGCGACGACGACGACGGCGGCGACGCAGGCGACGAGCGCCTCGGGCGCCCGGGGCGCCTGCCGCCATGGCTCCGCGGGGGGCGCCGACGTCTCTGTCTGCTGGGCCTTGTTCCTCCTGCCTCCTCCAGGAGGAGGTGGCACCGAATGGGACGCAGAAGGACATACTAGTGCTTTGTGTCCTCCTCGGAGGCGCGCGTCCGATCCGAGCATACAGCATGACGATCTTGTAGTATTATGTTCCCCGAGTGGTGCGGCCAGAAAGCGCCCGCCACGACGCATTTACTATAAGATTTCTCGGTGCGCGCGTCGCCCCTGGGGGGGCGACGCACGCATAGTATTAATATATTGAGGTGCCGCCAACCGAAGACTTGAAGCTAAGAGTGGGCCCAGAGATCTGGCGTCTCGAAGAAACGAGACTCGAAGAGGGATCGTCTACAGCATCGACGTGCACCAAAATTTACTTTTCCGTCGGGTCGGCGAGAAATCCACAGAGTGCTCAATAGATCTACGGAGCATTCGACGCACGGTCCGTTCATTCGACAGAAAAATCAAGTTTGGGGTAAATCAATTCCCAGACCCCCGACGTCGTGATTTTTTCGCAACGTCGACCCCCAAAGGTCTGGACCCCTTCCCCGGAACCGGTTTTTCATCCTGACTCGTTTTTTGACGGTCCCGAGGCCCAGTAAGGGCCTCCGGAGGCCGAAAATAGCGAAAAACCTCCCGTCGTGATTTTTTCACAGCGCGAGGGGGTCTGATCCCCTACTCGAGAGGCGACAATCATTCACAACACAATTTTGGGCCTCTCGGGACCTTTCGGGGGCCGCGGGGCCGTCCACAAAAACGGCGCGGGATGAGAGATCGGCCCTAGGGACGTGGTCCCGAGATCGGGGGCCCGTGCCTCGAAAAGAGAAAGACGCCGAGATGTTACCCCGGAAACTTGAGGCTCAGAATGGAGGATGCTCGTGCCCGGAATCATGAGTCAGAAAACGGCAGCCAAAGAGAACAGTCTCTGGAACTCTCGTTCTGTCAGCCTGATTCAACCCAGAACCGGATCCCAAACCTGCCTTTTCCCAATCAATCTGAAGGGTGTACTTCGCACAGACCTCCAACGAATCAGAAAAATCCAAACGGAAATGCTTCGGCATTTTCGGCCTCGTGGGGGCCCTCGCCGGGCCCCCCAGGACTGGCAACAAACCAATTCTGGACGAAGAAACTGGCCCTGTGGAAGGGCTCGGTCGAGGCTTCTGGGAACCCCGTGCTGGAAAAAAGTCCAGACATCGGATATCTGGGAATACCAGGAACTCCGACGTCGTGATTCGTTCACAACGTGGTCCCCTGGAGGTCTGGATCCCTTTTTCAGGACCGGCTTTTCATCCCGAGTCGTTTTTGAAGGAGCCCTGGGGACACAAATGAATAGACACAGGTCACAGGATTCCCCGTGCTTTCCTATATCTCCTGGCTTTTCGTGTCCCCCCCACTTCCCATACTTTCCCATATTTCCCTGGGAGTCGACAATTAATTGTGTCTGGGTTTTTTCCCCTCTCGAATCATTTTCTGACGGCTCCAAAGCCTGGTGAAGGCCCCTGCAGGCCGAACACAGCCAAAAACCCTTCGCCGAGATTTTTCACGACGAGAACCGTTGACCCTCTTGAGATCCTGGCGTCACATTTTTGTCTTCCCAACGGGCGCTTTCACCCAATTTCAGGCCGTGGTCTGGCTTGGAAAATGACGCAGAAAGATGGTGTCCAGGGCTCCGGTCGTGATTATTTGCTATGCTGCATATTTTTGCAACATCGGATCTCAGAGTCTCCACCTTCCACACCTTCGGAGCAGCATGTGGCTGATTTACGGACCTTCTCGAGGGGCACTACGCTGCGTAAACATGCACTGTTGGAGCTCGGCGCGGATTTCTCGGATCCGTGCTGGACCTCCTTCCTGGCGCGCGGAGCGCGCCAGGGGCGGCGCCGGAGGCGCTATCATGGGGGTCCAGCGCACATCCAAGAACCCCGCGCGGAGCTCCGACAGTTTCTGTGTGTGCCACTTCTTTGCCCCTCGAGAAGACCACTGCCGGTCGGCAGGCGTGGAAGGTGGAGACCCAGACACGCGACATCCGGATTTTTTCAATACGCTGTCCCAGAAGTCCCGACCCTTTCCCCGGGACCAGATCTTCATCCTGAAGCGTTTTCTTGACGGCCCCGGAGCCTGGCGAGCGCCTCCAGAGGCCGAACACGGCGAAACGCCCCTCCGTGTTGTTCTCCAACGACGCGACCACGTCTGGGACTGAGTCAGTCCCCTGCTGGTCGGAAGGTGTGGACGGTGGAGTCAGGGAGCGCACCGATCCCAGCCGGGGCCCATCCGGCCCCGGCCCGGCCCCGCCCCTGGGCTCCAAAAAAGGCCAGCCCGCTTGTCCACCACAGGGTTGCCTTGTGAGCCCGTTCGACGTCCGAGCCCGTGCGGCCGCCGAACGGCCTCGAGGTCGAGCCCACTCGGCGGCCAGGTGGGCTCACTCCCCGCGAACCTGTCGGAATTGAGCCCGTTCGGCTGTCCATTCGGCGGCCCAACGGGCGAGCGGGCTCACAAGGGAACCCCGGGGCAGAGCGGCGCCCCCGGCCTCCTGTCAAGGGCTCCCTGGGCGGCCCCCTCCGAATCCCGAGGCGCGGCCCAGACCCAAAGCCCCTCGCGCTGTGAAAAGCTCACGGCGGGAGGCTATTCGCAATGCTTTCGGCCTCCCGGGGCCCTCGCCGGGCCCCGGGACCGTCAGCAGGATGAAAAACCGGTCTCGGGAAAGGGGTCCAGGCCGGGTCGACGCTGCGAAAAAATCACGACGTCGGGGGTCTGGGCAGAGCGCCCCACGACTGGCCAAGAAAGCCTCGTCCTGATAGGACCGCGTCCCTCAGGACCAAAGCTTGCCAAGCATGCGACGTCGTGATTAGTTCAACACGCTGTCCCCGGAAGTCGCGACCCTTTCCCCAGAACCAATTTTTCATCCTGAATCGCTTTCTGACGGTCCTGGGGCCCGGCGAGGGCCTCCAGACCCTGAGATCCGATGTTGGAACAAAATGCAACATCGCCGAAAATCACCACTGGAGCCCCGGACCTCATCTTTCCTGCGCCATTTTTCGAGCCGGACCGATCTGTGAGGGTCCCAGGGCCCGAAATTGAGCGAAAACGTCCGTGGAAGAAATAGCATCGCCAAGGTCTCAGGGGAGGCCGACCACGGCGAAAAAAAAACGCCCGTCCGATTTCACTTACGACGCGAGCAGGTTTGGGTTTTTACCCCCCTGGGGGCAGCAGCAGCAGCAGCAGCAGCAGCAGCAGCAGCAGCAGCAGCAGCAGCAGCAGCAGCCGAGGCCCGCCGGACGCCGGGCGGGCCCATCCGGGGCCCGCCCGCCCAGCCTGGCCCAGAGGACGTCGAGACACCCGTTCGAAGCCGTGTCAAGAAACAGCAGGTGCGCTGAAATGTGATCGCGGTTGGCTTAGCCGTCGCCTCGCGCGTTGCTATGTTTGTTTTTCCCGCGTTTCCTTTGCCTAATTCGTCTCTGCGTAGCCCGCTTTGACCTGACTCGCCGCCGGCGCGCTCGCCCGCGGCCGCTGACTAAAGTTAAATGCGATCGCGCCCTGGTGCAGGCGAGAAGCTCATCGTATCTACGTTTCTGCCACGGCGACAAAATAGAGACGCATTCTAGATGTGCGCCCCTGGCCTGCACGGGAGCGCCGCCGTTATCTAAACATGCGGGGCCGCACTCAATTCTTATTCAAGAAAGCCAATATGTTCGTATCTAATTTTCTAAGAATGACACTTCCGAGCGGTATCCATTCGTACCTGATTCTGTCAGAACGGATGTTGGCTGTGCTCTCGGAACGAAGAGGATCTGTGATACTGGACGAAGCAATGAGCAATGGGATGGGGATAGTGGGAAGCCGTAGCGATGAGGAGCGAGGAGATGAGCGACGACGACAAGGAGCAGGATGGATAACAACGATGAAACGAGATTAGGCGAGAACTGGGAAAGAACACCCGTAGGACGGGGAGAGCAACGAGGAGGAGGAGGCGGAGGACGAGGATGATGCGTCAAATCGAAAGCGAAGGGGGTGGTGCGGGGTGCGGGCGAGGAGGTTGTAGGAGGACTGGCGGGGAGGTTGACGACGACGATGCGTTGAGGCAGGAGGAGAGGGGCCCAAGAGACGAACAAAGGAAGAAGGAGAGGAATTACGATAAGCATCGAGGAGGAGGAGGTACGGGAGACTTACGATCCTGAGCAGGAGCGGGAGCAGCAATGACCGCAGTGGCGGAAAGTGGTTGATCAGGGCTGGTGGCGGGGAGAGGTGATCAGGAACAGGCATGGGCATTGAGTAGGTGGATACGGAGTGCAAGTAAAAAGGATGAGGGGCGACCGTGGGGTGAACCGGCGATGGTTCGGATGATGTTCATGATGATGATGCTGATGATGCTGATGACGCTGAGGATGGTGATGATTATGATGAGTATGATGGTTATGCTGGTGATGATGATGGTTATGATGAGGGTGCTGATGATGATGATTATCATGATGATGAGAATGATGATGGTGGTGATGGTGGTGGTGATGCTGATGGTGATGATGAGGATGAGGATCCCCGCTCGCTCCGCTGCGTAGCAGTCGCCTCGAGGCCGCGCGCGGGACCGCGCGCGCGAGGCTAAAGGGGGGAGCCCCGGCGCGCGCCTGCCCCGAGCAGCGCACTCAGGAGGCGACCCTCAGGGGCGGCTCCCGGACGACCCGCGGGTCGTAGCAGCGCCGCAGGCTAGCCTTGGTAAGGAGGGAGAGGTGGGTGGGGGCCGAGAAGCTGCAGGACGCCTGCGGGGCGATCGCGGCGGGGATAAGAGGTGGCATCCCCGCTCGCTCCGCTGCGTAGCAGTCGTCTCGGGGCCGCGCGCGGGACCGCGCGCGCGAGGCTAAAGGGGAGAGCCCCGACGCGCGCCTGCCCCGAGCAGCGCGCTCAGAGCGACCCTCAGGGGCGGCTCCCGGACGACCCGCGGGTCGTAGCAGCCCATGCTCAAAGCCTTTGCGCAGTGACAAGTCTAGAGCGGGCGGCCGCGAGAACGAAAGGCCAGGCGGAAGGGCCCGCCGACAGGAATCGTGCG